CCTGCCAGCCTGGTCGCCCCTCACGGCCCCTCCGCTGGCCTGGTCGCCTCTTACTACCCCCCCTGCCAGCTTGGTCGCCCCCAACTGCCCCTCCTGCCAGCCTGGTTGCCCCTCATGGCCCCTCCTTTGGCCTGGTCGCCCCACGCAGCCTGCTGTTCAGTCATTTGGTCATCCCTTACTAACCCCCCTGCCGGCCTGGTCACCCCATGCAGCCTACTTGTTCAGTCGTTTTGTCATCCCTCACTAACCCTGCCAGCCTGGTCGTAGCAGCCATCTTGTGAGGGCGTGAGGGTTATTTTGCATATTACCACTTTATTATATAGAATAACTACAAATCTCACCATTATTTTGGCCTTATTGTTAGTTACTATGTTCCCTGCCATTCCTTTTGCTGTACGATCTCTGTTCATTTACTGGATGGCTGATATTCACCTTCTCACTGTTCATCAAAAATAACTTATGGGTATTATTTACCCTGAATTCTTGCATTGTTCAAAAACAATTGTCAATTGACAGTTTGTTTTGAAGTTAAAATATCTTTACCCTGACGACTTATAAGCTTTATACCATTCTCCTGTTATGCTAAATATTCCCAACAATATCTGCCTTCCCCCAGCACTCCCATATATGTAAGTTAATCATTTTAATAGGATGAGCAAAGAATGCATTCCTTATCTTTGAAATTCAATTTTAAAAAAACTAATATGTAAAGATGTTGATGACTGTTCTATTAGTTTTTCCTCACTGTGTGCCATACAATCTGTAGAATCGATTTCTTGTTTGTGCAAAGTTTTCTTATGTTTGAATATGTTTCTGTTCCAATGTTTAATTCTCTATTTCCAGAACTACAAGTAAGCACTTGTTTCATCTCCTTTCATTCCCATTTCACTTTATTCAACTTTCAAAAGCCTGTCATCATGTCCTTTACTGAGTTAATTCTTTTTGTTTCCAATGTGCCCTTTTACTTCTGATTTTCTTTTTCTTTCCCTTTTGCTATTTCCATTTCTTTTTTATATGTTTTTATTGATTTTTAGAGAGAGAGGAAAGAAAAGGGAAAGATAGAAACATCTGTGAGAGAGAAACATCAACATCGATCAGCTGCTTCCTGTAAGCCTCCTACTGGGGATGGAGCCAGCAACCCTGGCATGTGCCCTGAGAATCCTGGTGCATGGGTCAATGCACAACCACTGAACCACACTGGCCGGGCTTTCATTTCCTTTCGTGAGCTCTACCAGATCATAATTACCATATACTGTTTTCTTACTACTTCTTCCTAGCTCTTGGGCCAATTAATTTTGTTTCTTCTTTTTAAAAAGTAGTTGTTTCATTAAATTTGTTAGGCCAATACAGTTTTTTCATGGGGCCTTTGTCACTTATCTTTTATTTTCTTTTCTCCTTTCTTCTTATAATATTTTTGTATAGACACTGTGCCCATTTCTTTAATTATTACTTCTCTTTGAGTGATGTGAGCTCCTTCCTGGTCAGTTACTTGCAAGATTGTGGAAGGAAGAAACAAGCTGTGTTCCGATCCAGAGGACAGTCTCTCTGGAACACAAGAAAGCTCTTTATGACAGAGCGTTTTGTGCATGTTTATGTGTGGGAGAGACAGAGAGTACATGTGTGAGAATAACTATGAAAAAGGTGTTTAGCCATAACTTCTTTCCTCACCAAGAGAGCGCTACCTTCAAAGACAGTGTATCTGCTTGCTGTCTCTTTCGCTCTTCCTTTCTTGCTGGTTCACGGTGCCAAACAATACAAGGAAGCTCCCACTGCCTTCCTACGCATCCTGACCCCACTGCAAACAGATCTCTCTCCTAGTTCGACCAGCTCTACCTGAGACCTCTTCTACCAACATCCTCTTTTAATTTCTTCCTGCTTACATCTGACAACCATTTCTTAAATATTTTGATTTGAGGTGACAGGACTCCTAGTTTCATTCAAGCTGTGATCTTTATCTTTATTCGCCTTGCTTTTTCAAAGTAATTTCAGATAGCAGAGGGCACAAATGACTTTACTTTGCCAACTTAAATCAGAAGTATTGGTTTGGGGTCTTAAAACAAGCCAAATGAGCTTCCAGAGCTGAAGCCTATATAAAGCAGATACTCTAAGAAATTATATTAGGCCAATAAACCACTAGAGAGAAATTACATCAACAGTGACATGAATAATCCACCAGAGCTACAGATAATTCACATGTGGGGCAAAAGTAGGTTTACCCCAGTGAGTACACAAAACTTTGAGTTTATTCTTGTATTATTAGTTTTAATTACTGTATTATTTTCTACACAAACAACTGTAAACTCACTTTTGCCCTCCCCCCTGTATATGAAGCAAAGATAACTGAATATATCATGATCATTTTCTATCTCCTAAGACTTGGAAAACAAGCAACATAAAATAACATTGATGATATTAAATTTTGTTGTCAGTGAAAATCTGCTAAAATAAAACAATAAACTCTGATAAAGGCAGCTCACAAGATAATATCCTTCATTTTCAAGATTTCAGCTCAGCTTTCTGTACGTGTATAAATCGTGCATCAATGTATACCAATTCCTAATGAAACCTAAAGTGGCATTCGGACTGTGCCAGAGCTCAGCCTCTTCTACACCTGAATTAATAACTGGGAAAGAAAGCATAAAAGGCCCATACAAACCACTACACAAACATAAAGTTCAAATTAATATCTTGTTCTCTCTTTGGACACATCTCTAATCTAAATTAATTCTTACATGAAATAAGCCTCCAAAACACATCATCACTTAACTGCATTTTTATTATCAAGATGATATCCAATTAACTACACTTCATTATTTTCTATAAATGCCAAGGCAATTCAATTGCAAAAAAGGAATACTAGCCTGTCAAAACATTCCGTTTTGCTAGCACTATCTCTACACTGGGAATGTCGTTACTACTTTAAAATGAATAATGTGACACTTAAAAAAATAAGATACTCAAAAACTTTTCACTGGTTCTCTACTACCTACAAATAAAGTGCGAATTCCATACAATGGCATCCAAGGGTATTCGCAACCTGACTGAACACAGGCAAATTGTCTAGGCTTTCTCCCTCCTCACACTCTCCATGGTTTTGCCCACGTATTCCTGGAGCACATCCCACACTTGCCTGCCTCCGTGCTTTTTATTCCCTCTTGTCTGAAATGCTCCCATCCATTTCCACAAAACCAGTTCTACACCTCTTCTCTGAGCTCCTCACAAATGACCCTTCTTTTGTGACATTTTCCACGCTCTGCCCAATCAGAAGTGACCTCTTCTGGCTCTAAGCCCCTACTCTCACCTTGCAGGGGATAAATATTTACTCTCTATCGTAACAGGCAAAGATGTCAAAGAACTGTTAAGCACTGCAGATAAAATGATAAATACCATGCAGTTCCTGTCTTCTAAGGGTTTAGAGGTGAGTGTAAGCGTTTTCAAAAGAAGCATGGTCATGAGCTTAAGTGGCCCAAGCATCTACGAGTTCTAATGCCAACACGAGGTTCACATAAATACGGTATCTTCCAGCACAGAACTATTCTCAGAGGACGTGGGCGCAGCCTGGAGCGAGTGCACGAACCGGGACCGGGCGGTGGAGGAGGAACGGGCAGGTCCGTTTCCCAGCGGAATCTCTAATGGACCACGGGCGTCAGAGTCATCGATTCCCTCCATCTTCGGGCCTGCGGTAGCCGCAGCCCGACTGGCCACCTCCAAACACACACACACACACCCCTCCTCAGCAATTTTACTGTGTCCAGACATGAAACGGAGGCTCAACGAGCAATGAGCTGCCCCCTGTTCCTGGA